TTTTAAATAATTCATTGTTTTTCTTTACCAGAACATCACCTTCACAGATCCGTTCTTTGCCCCTCCGGTGGTGTTAGTAACACCAAAATACATTTACAGTGGCAACAATTTGCTTTCTGGTTGTAACGCAGTCACCACCTGGGTTGAGGTAAGATTGTTCTTTCTTTACTGTATCATTGTTAAGTGCAAAAAATGCACCTCCTGATGATAAAAAAGCTTGTTCATGTTACATGTTCAAGAATTTTTCAGTACGGTATGAGATCTCGGTGCACCCCATGTTATATATATATTAGAATATACGAGATTTATAGGACGCAATTTTGACGATACTGGACTGCATGATTATTATAAGAAAAAAAAAAAGAAAATTAATCGAATATTTATATTTCATTAAAGAATTCAACCAAAACAGATACAAAGATCTGTGTACGAAACTACGATAGGATCAGTAACAATACCATTAAAGTCGACTTCCTGGTTATTGGAGGTATGTAAAAATACTTACTTAGTACAAAGAAATGAGAATAAAAAGTGCTGTTTGTCATTTAAGATAAACAGGCAGATCCGTTTTAAATTCAAGCCTTTATAGTTACGCGCAGGCACGTACCTTGCTTTAAAGCCTGCGAGGCCGGCGCAAGAAAGGAGATTGTCCCCACGTGCGGCCTCGTGCGGCACACCCCGACCAAGAATTTCTCTACGAAAGACCCTCCGAGAATTAGAGCTTATGTGTAATGGAAGAGCAGCCTGGTGGAAACACGTGACCAACTATTGAAAAAGGCCTATTCTATTGGTCCTGGTTATATCTGGCTTCTTGTGTTATGTTTTTGAGATTTAGCTAGCGTTTATTGAATGACGCACAGGATAAATTTTCCAGATAAATCGGTGCGTCAGGAAAAAGGTATAGGCCTAGATAAATTTGTACAATTAAGCATTTATGTAAACTGTATCTTTCACTTTGCTGTTGTTTTTTCATCGAGTTTAGACTTATGTGAAACGTGATTTTTGTACACTCCTACTAGATCTGGATCCTTGTCTGGACGTAACCTGTGATTACCACTGTCTTTGTAAGGCTTTTGGACCATACGATGCCCGTTGCGTGCACGCAGAAAACTGCCCATCCTACCAAGAGCCCATATGTTCCTCCAACGGAACGACGTTTGATAATAGGTGTCTCTTTGAACAGGAAATGTGTCTGTTGCGACTCAACTACACTATCCAACATCCCGGTGGTTGTGAAGGTTAGCAACTCAGTATGCTGCTCATTTATTAGTTTCTAAAGACTTTATNAAAAGTGCTGTTTGTCATTTAAGATAAACAGGCAGATCCGTTTTAAATTCAAGCCTTTATAGTTACGCGCAGGCACGTACCTTGCTTTAAAGCCTGCGAGGCCGGCGCAAGAAAGGAGATTGTCCCCACGTGCGGCCTCGTGCGGCACACCCCGACCAAGAATTTCTCTACGAAAGACCCTCCGAGAATTAGAGCTTATGTGTAATGGAAGAGCAGCCTGGTGGAAACACGTGACCAACTATTGAAAAAGGCCTATTCTATTGGTCCTGGTTATATCTGGCTTCTTGTGTTATGTTTTTGAGATTTAGCTAGCGTTTATTGAATGACGCACAGGATAAATTTTCCAGATAAATCGGTGCGTCAGGAAAAAGGTATAGGCCTAGATAAATTTGTACAATTAAGCATTTATGTAAACTGTATCTTTCACTTTGCTGTTGTTTTTTCATCGAGTTTAGACTTATGTGAAACGTGATTTTTGTACACTCCTACTAGATCTGGATCCTTGTCTGGACGTAACCTGTGATTACCACTGTCTTTGTAAGGCTTTTGGACCATACGATGCCCGTTGCGTGCACGCAGAAAACTGCCCATCCTACCAAGAGCCCATATGTTCCTCCAACGGAACGACGTTTGATAATAGGTGTCTCTTTGAACAGGAAATGTGTCTGTTGCGACTCAACTACACTATCCAACATCCCGGTGGTTGTGAAGGTTAGCAACTCAGTATGCTGCTCATTTATTAGTTTCTAAAGACTTTATATGAAACATCAGATTTAGACGGTCAACTGCAAGCATTTTAGGAGAAAACTCACACCAACACCTACACTAATCATTTAAGCATTCAATGAATATAGCTACGTTTTTGTTACTGCTTTCATTTTGCTCTATGTATTTACCATAATTTAATGATTTTTGTTTTGTTTTGTTCTTTTTGTTTTTTATTTCCGCTTCTTTTTGTCAGGGTTCCCATTTCAGCGCGGTCGAATTCACATGCCTCACATACCATCTTTGGGGTACTCTCATTGCGAAGCTGTTCGTTTCCCACCATTTGTATTCTATCCTGACAAACCTATCCAAGTACAGATAACTGTCAATCACATCGATACAGGTGACATGACCTATGTCCACGATGCTGCTGTGTCGTGGATTGAAGATGTAAGTTACGAACAATTCACTGGATGCGTGATGGCGGCAGGGTATAACGAGCGCAAGTCCAGTGCTAATGTGTCCATAGACTGGATAGCTTATCAGGGAGCTCCAGTGGGTGGGGTCACTGGAGAGGTGCGCATGTCACAGTGGTGGACTGGAACGACTTGTAAGACCGTGAGTTTCCCTTCGGTAAGTCAGCAGATCTTTTCAAAACGCATACCTACTGCTTAACTACTTCTGACTACGACGACGACGACGACTAATAGTATCACTCGCTATCACTACCCCCACCGGGCTTCCATCATAGGTCTACCATGAAAATATAAAGCAAATAGGTGACTTTTTTATAATAAATTTTCTGGATAGTTCATTGAAAAATTGTTTAAAAGACCTCTTTGGCTCGTAGATTTTGTTTTCCCATTTCAGACTACGAGAGGTTACCTCATCAGAACTATTTTCTTTTTTTCAAATGTCGTCCTTTTCACTAGTGCATATGTGAGCGTAACGTTGTGATCTTTATTGTAAAAACAAGAATGCCCTGAAAAGGTCTATTTCCCTCACATCAAAGGTCAATGTTTTACTAGTTTTTGTAAGTAAAGTCAAAAAAACTATCGGATTATGAGACAAATGGACTAGATTATTTATTGCTCGGATTTGTAATGCAAGCTACTCTTGAACCCAGAGAAGTTACCAGACATTAGAAGAAAGGGTTCAAGGTCTGTTATATGAAATGGTATATGAAATGATACAGACCATTTTGTCAAGAAAAATCCATTTAAGTGGCAGTTAGACGCCATCAAAGCGTATTTTGCTTTACCTCATTGCCTCTTATTCCTATACTTAATTTTATACCATTTTCCAATCAGGGCAAGTTTTTAAAGGATCCTTCAGTGTTTGTTACCGCAGAACATCACCGTGCCGGACTGAAGAGAGATGCCGCCAGTATTTGGTTAGAGGATATCACTCAATCTTCCGTCAAAATATGTTTACGGGAACTGCAAAATTACGCTGGCTCCCACGAGGACATTTATGTTGTAAGCATTTAGGATAATTTCATCACAACTTATAAATATAATTACTGATTCAGTTTCAGTTTGAGATAGATTGAGAATTAGCTCTGAGGTTAGGACTTGGACAGCCAAGATCCCTTTCGACCACTTTATAGTCACCGTAAAGGTGTAAAAAATGTGTAAAACTGTAACTAAACGGTTTTATTTGACGGGACGTTTTCTCAAATTGCAAGTGATTTTCGACTTTGGGAACTAACTCATAACTAATTGGAAGAATTCATCTATGTAAATGAATCAAAAAGAGTGGGCTTGTATTAAAGTCTTTCTTTCATTTCTACCCTGCGTGAGTGAAATAGTGTTTTTAAAATCAAAATGACGTCGCAGTTTGCTGGTGTTAACAACTGATAACTCAGGGGCTTTTAGTAACAGTTTCCATATGAATATAAGGACTAGTTCGACGATGACCCCCAAACAAGTAAGGAAAGTCCTGTAACTCTTCGTACCACTTCCACTAATTAAAAATGTTCGCCTAATTTGGTCAAAGTTTGCGGCTTCAGCTTCAAATTACTTGTTACTGTGTACATGTCCGTACGCGTCTTAGTGAAATGTTCATCTTACAGGGCGTATGCCTGAAGAGAGGCAGGGACCAACTCTATGAGAGATGCTTGTCTTATATAGAGAGTCAAATTCTATGATTGAAGAACAACAGGGACCAACTCTAGGTGCCCGTTTTGGGGAGGTGTCCGTCTTATAGAGAGTCAAATAATATGACTAAAGAACGGCAGGGATCAACTCTAGGTTTCTGTTTTAGGGAGGTGTCCTTCTTACAGAGTCAAATACTGCTGAGGAACGGAACGGACGAACTCTTGGTTACCGTTTTAGGGAGGTGTCTGTCTTAAGTCAAATACTGTAACTGAAGAAAGGCAGGGACCAACTCTAGGTGCCCTTTTTAGGGAAATGTTCGTCTTATAGAGAGTCAAGTATATTAAAACGACAGAAGAAAGGCGGGGGTCAGCTCAAGGCGTGTCCGTTTTAGGTTTTACTGTGTACATTTCCGTACGCGTCATAGTGAAATGCTCATCTTACAGGGCGTATGCCTGAAGAGAGGCAGGGACCAACTCTAGGTGTCCCTTTAAAGAGATTCCCGTCTTATATAGAGAGTCAAATTAGAATAATATGACTGAAGAACGGTAGGAGCCAACTCTATGTCTCCGTTTTAGCGAGGTGTCGCTGTCTTTTAAGGGTATCCTTTAAAGAGGGAGTTGACTGTATTATTTTGAAATTCATTTTGTTTTAGAACTGGTTGGCGTTTTCTTCACTTCACAAGCCTCTTTTTGCAGAACACGATTCTATTTATTTTGCAAACTCTGGGATTCCTCCAGCTGATCATAACAATGCTTTCTGCGAGGTCAGTTATCACTGTCTTATGTCTGTCCTTCCGTTACTGTTTTACCTGTCTGGCGACTGATGAACATGAAAGTATCCTTTTTTAACTTGCTTTTTTTAATTTTGTTTTTAGGATATTCACTTTATCAGGGTGTACAATATTGCCCCGACTATCTTCGTGTCAGCGAACCATACATCTACTGGTGGAAATCAGGACCCCATGCACAATTCCATTACCACTTGGGTTGAGGTAAATTAAAAGGAACAACTAGGCGAATATTAAAGAAATGAATTTACAAAGGACACAAACTAAGGCAAAAAGATACAAGAACTTACGTCTAACATGCATGACTTGCCGACATAGGAAAAGGAAGCTTAATATTTAGTTTTATACTCGCGTTTTTTAAGCCCACGATAAACATTTAAACGTCACAAAATATCTCTGGCTGCTTACTTGACCAAACTACGCCGTATAATACGATCGACTGCCAAGAATGCTATGTCCCAAAATGGCCGTCATTTTGGATTTGTCTTAGGTTTGCAAAATTGATGTGGGAATATTTTTGCAAACGAATCATTAAAACTTAACCTTAAAATTCTGAATTTGTAACCGTGCTCATAAACTGTTGCCACAGAAGCACATACAATTGGATGTAAACAAAAAGTGGAGCTAAAAATGGCTGTGAAGGTAACAGAATTTGGTGGTTGTAGCTGTTGAAAGTCAGAGCACGTTCGGTCGCCTTCTACTCTCCCCTTCTGGTCTGGATAGAGTTGAGTTTTATTATGTATTCTTACTTGTTGCTGCTGTTTTTGGTTATTTGTAGTATGATTTGTTTTTCTTTATATAAAAAAAAACCTTATCAAAGTATCGTAGAAGGCACACACAACACTTCGAAATTACCCGGATCAACAGATCGAACGTTTTTGTAGTTAATCGACCGTGACGACCGTTGTACGAGGCGAAAGCCACATACAACTTAATAATATATATATTTTTTTCAGTACATTAACACAACAGGCGCCCGAGTTTGTTTAAAAGAACTGTACGAATCCAAGTATGACCCGCTTTCCGTATCATACACTGTACTGTCAGGTAAGAGGTGGTGGGTTTCAAAAGGGAGTGGTCATAAATCACCAGCGGGGAGATCTACTAAAAAGTCTAAGTCAAGGGTCAAAAGATATTGACCCTCCCTTAAATTTGGGTATACAAACTCTAACCCCGCCCAAAACCTAGGTCAAAACGTTATGAGCCTCCCTTGAGAAAGCTTCTTTTTCAATCAGTTATTTAATTCCATTATTGAAATCAATTTGGACAGAGTGTGTAACACACTGTCGATAGCGATCACCTGTTTCTGATTTCGCGATCACGTATTTCTAAGTTCTTACTTGCAGCGTAAGTAGTGTTGTTCTAAAATTAAGAAAGTGCACATCTGAGTAAACAAATTTGTTAAGAACTTTTAAAAAATAGGATGCTCTTGCATTAACAAAAGCTACTAATAATGCATCGGGGAATCGTCCAAGCTTTGGCTTCTTTAATTTACTATCTTGCAATTAGCAAAACGGAAGAAAATTTGAAAGTTCTTCCTTTCTTTCATTTTGGAAATTTTCCAGACAGTCCGCTTCCCTAATATGAAACCACTTTGCAATGCATAATAAGCTTACAGACAAAATAGACATACTTGTTTGTAGGTTAAGGTGGTAAAACGTGAGGCAGCTATCCCATTTCATCCCCTTACTCAAGACATATGTAAACATTATGTTTCCCACAACCACAAGGGTTAATAAGGAACAACATATTTTGGTACTCCACGGATTGCACACAGAGTTGTTTTAGCTCATGAACTGAATATGGGTTGGCATGTATGAGAAACGTAAGTACCTACAATCGGAACTGGTTTCTGGATTCAGTTTATTCTGTGTCCTGGAAATTCTAGATATTTGCCACCCAGGATGGAGTTACTTTGGCGGTTATTGCTACTTCACAAGTGCCGCATGCGCATCTTGGCTGACCGCAGAAGCAAATTGCTCGACCAGGAGTTCAAATCTGGTGACAGTGCACAACCAAGAGGAAAATGTTTATCTTCAACACCGTCATAACGGAGACAGATCCTGGATTGGGCTCAATGACCGAAGCGTGGAGGGCTCCTTTGTGTGGACAAACAAAGAGATAAGTAGTTTTAGGTTCTGGGCTCCAAGACAACCAAACAACTGGAAAAACGAAGACTGCGTTCACACCCTTGGCGCCAGGCATGGTTACACTTGGAATGATGTGCCTTGTGATAAATGCTACAACTACACTTGTTTTACAGGTTAGTAAAGTATTGTTTCAGATCAAAAGGAAATTATCCTGGATGAAAAAAGAATTCTCCCCTTGACTGTTTTAAGAGCACCACGTAGAGCTTTCGGTTTCCAGTCTGAAAGCTAAAAGACGAGTGTTAGTTTTGCGAGACTACAGGCTGGAAGGCGAAAGTTTAATGTTCTACGGAATAGTCAATTTTGCTGAAAACCTTTTTATGCAGGATAATTTCTTATAGGAGATAAACTAGAAAAATAGTTATGTGTTGACCCTGCCATCTTCAAAAGAGCCAAAGCTTGCATGCGCAAGAGTAAAACAAATTTGTAAAAACGCGTTGAAAAGTTTTTCTTGACAGCATGCATGTGGGTTTCATTTGTTGAAACTTTGCTCGCGTCACTGCGCTTAGATGAGTGTACAATTAACTTGTAACGTCAATGACGTCAATGCTGCTTGTCAAAATACCGCGGGCTCATACACCTGTTGGTGTAAAGCCGGATTTACGGGAGATGAAAAAACATGTTATGGTAAGAATGTAATGAAAAAAAATGCCAGTTCAAAGTGTCTTGCCACTTAAAATAAATTTTCAAAGTGGTGTTATTGCGGTAAATCTTCACTAAACATATACATTTTTATTAGACAGCAGTTACACCTGAATGGTGCACAAACAGAAAATCATATTTCATATGAGTATTTTTGAGTAAGATGCAGAAGAGTGTTCTTGAAGAGATGCGTGAAGAGTGTACGTTCGAGAGTGCTAAAGGAAAGCAACAAAAGTAGGTTCGACAACTACAGTGTCAGGAACACTGTGTATTTATCATATCCCATATTACCTTTCGGGATTGCTATTCGCGTGCATGTTTTTTCCGACAACCCTTCTCGAAATAGCTGTATATACAATCAGAACAAATACTGCTTTAACCTCCATCCAAGGCCAACTAAAACTATTCTTTGATAAAAACTTGATAAAATTGCACTATTCAGTCTAAGTAAGGACGCATAGAAGTGGGAAATACTTTTCTTTAAGATAAGACTGGTAATGATATTTTACCAAATATAAAAAATTTAAACTGAAAATGCCCTCTTGCTCATTCGTGGAAACAAAAAGCAATTGGCGACATTTCCAGAGGCTTTGGTTACGTTACAGGTAGGTTTGTCGGTTTTTTTATTATTATATTTCCTCTTGCCCTCATTATCTTTATTTGTTTGTTGTTGTTCCGATCGAGTGAAAGTTTTTAAAATTTGGAAGACAAGAAAAGGTCTTTTAAAGAATTTCTTAACAAGCCTTTGCTTGGTTCTAGACTTAGATGAGTGTACTACCAACTCTCATATTTGTGACGTCAATGCTATTTGTCAAAATACTGCGGGCTCACACACCTGTTCGTGTAAGGCGGGATATACAGGGAGTGGAAAAACATGCCATGGTAAGTTAGAAAATGAAAGAGGAAATGCCAGTAACAGGAAGGTTTGTCGGTTTTCTCTTTAGTTAAGTTGTTTTAAAATCATATTGTCACTTATCCTTCCATCAAAAAAGACCTGCACACGAAATTTATATGGTACATTTTGAGAACCGGTTTAATTATATTTTCTCTCGCCCTCATTATCTATATTTGTTTGTTGTTGATCTGATCGAGTGAAAGTTTTTAAAATTAAGTAGCTCCGGTTTTTCATAAATCACATGGAAGATAAGAAAAGGTCTTTTGAAGAATTTCTTAACAAGCCTTTGCTTGGTTCTAGACTTAGATGAATGTACTACCAACTCTCATACTTGTGACGTCAATGCTATTTGTCAAAATACTGTGGGCTCACACACCTGTTCGTGTAAGGCGGGATATACAGGGGATGGAAAAACATGTAATGGTAAGTTAGAAATTGAAAGAGAAAATACCAGTTAAAAGTGTTCACTTAACCAAGTAGTTTTTGGCTAAAAGCTTCTATAAAACATATCAGACGGAACTTACAGATAAATGAAAAGCTAACGTGAAATATTATCGCACGTTTTCAGATGTGGACGAGTGTTCTAGCAACGCTCACAGCTGTGATGTCAACGCAGTGTGTACAAATACCCAAGGATCGTATTCCTGTGCATGCAAAGCTAAATATACAGGAAATGGTACAACATGTGTACTTGTACTTGGTAAGGACGTACTCTATACTTAAAGATGAGTTTATTGAAAAATTCAACAACTAGTATTTATTGAAATAACACCATCATCTTAAGTTTACGCAACAGGACCACAGGAAGAAGAGGACGGCAAGCCGCTCGTGTGTGACAAACGTGACAGGGCTATTACTTGCGTGTTTCTTCGTGATCTTGACTTAACCTTAATGCTTTCTGGTCTTTTAGAAAAAGATCTTATCAAAGGAAAGTCAAGTTTAGGGAAAAGTCATTTGAAACAAAATTATTGTCAGGCTTATGTTGTCACACAAGGTTGCCCCCACCCACTCTTCTTCCCTCTCCTGTCCTGTTGCTCAAGTTCACTAATATGAACATGGGGACTGTAATTTTTGTAGAAAATATACCCCGAGGAGATGGATAAGAAATAATAATTTCACCCGGGATCCATGGATGGGAGAGCGTACAGCAGTAATTCACATAAAAGTGCTTAGGTGTGAGTAGTACCTGCCGCTCAGATACGTTTGGGCAGGATGATACTTTGTTCAGTTGTTTTAAGAAGTTACACACTCATTCCAAAGGCTTCGATATGTTTACATGAAGATACAGTCAAACAAACGCTCCGCACTCAAAAGTCACAAGTCACATCCCCTTTTTTTAAATACAATTATGTCGTGATAGTACTGAAAAAATATATTATGCTTACTCTTACTTTAAACTCAGTCCTATGTACATTTGTACCGATGATTCTAAGCCTTTCGCTTTGCAAAATGAACTGGGCCCAGTTGTTCAAAAGGTGGATAACGCTGGATATATAATCTCTATCCGGTGGATCGCGCAATTGTTTTTCCTAATGCTTATCCGGCGCTGGACAGTGATTTATCCAGTGAATGGTGCTATCCAATGTTTCAACAACGGGGACCTGGAGTGTAAAGAAGCCCCATCTATGTAACTTCGCAACGCCCTAGAAGAAGAGCCAAAAACTAAGTGAGTTATAACGATTTTAAGACATAATAATTATTATGAAAATTCTTTGCAATACTAACCAGAAAAACAACCCTGTACTTACCCTAAAAAGCCAGTTACAGCTAAAACAAATAAGTACAGTGTAAGTTAGTAACCAATATGACGAAAGCTTTATTTTTATTCTTTATTATTATTTTTTTAACAGACACTATAACTATAATGTTGTTCATCAATTACGTATTAGTGATTACTGATAATTTTTGAAGATATCCAGTGGATCTTCTCCTTTTTCAGCACCGTTCAAAGCTGTTTTTACAGACCTTGGTATAAGCGGAAGACTTTTATATAGTAATTCCCCAACTGGGGCCAATGCGCCAAGGGATTCTTTGTTACAGCGTTGCCCCCTTTGTGCCGGGGTGGTAATTAAGGTAAGCCTGCACATCCAAAGGTCTAAAGATGACCTTACGCAATAATTGCTTTGGTATACTTTTTTATCATCCAGTATCCTTCAGCGCGGTCTTCACAAACCTAGGTGCGAGTGGTAGACTGGGTCCAACTTCCCTTGGTAGTTACTACAGTGGACAAGATCATGACGGTCAAGTTACATTGCACAGCGGTATTCAACAATGGACTGTGCCACAAACAGGTGACTACAGAATAGAGGCGATAGGAGCTGCAGGGGGATACGACAACTACAACAATAATAGCCGCCATTATCGAGGAAGAGGTGCAAGGATGAAAGGAACTTTTCGTTTGTCTCGAGGAGAAACAATTCAGATACTCGTAGGACAAGAGGGTGGAATTAACAATGTACGAAATACTGCAGGAGGCGGTGGAGGTACGTTTGTTGTAAGAGGAAGCAGCACACCTTTAATAATCGCTGGAGGAGGAGGAGGCATAGAAGCTTTGCTTTCACGACGTACAGGATGTGATGCCTCTACCGGCACGGCAGGGAGAGCTGGGTACAGGTCATGGTCAGGAGGAAGCGGGGGACACGGAGCAACGACCGCTGACAGTAGTAACTCAGGTGAAAAAATACTATGCGTGCCTGTAAATTAAAAGCAAACTTCTACTCGCGCCGTTACTTAGGTCCCATGTGATGTAAAGTGCTTAGTGATGCCAACAATTTTGGGTATTCGTCGAAATAATTTATAGGATGAAACTTCAAAGACTGGATAATTGAAACTTTGAGGGGTTACAGTAGTCGCGAATTTATAAGTTATCTCTCTGAGAATAATTTGGTACCACCCTCTGAAGCTTTCAGGGTACATGCATGAAAGCTTCATTAACACTATAAAAAAATAGTCAAAGGTTTGAACCCAGGAGTCATTTCAAAAGTAGGTTGAGTTTGATGGTCCGGGTGAACGTAGTCCTGAATAGGACTGTTGTTGTTGAGAGTGACTGACGTTTCGATAACCTGTGCGGTAGTCATCTTCAGAGTCAAAGTGAGTGGTATCACGTCAGTTGATGGTATTATACTCTGGTTATTGATCTGATTGGTCAATTACGTCGCGATGTTATTGGTCGTCTGTCAGTTAAGCCGTGATGTCATTGGCTATGAAGACTCGTAATCAGTAATTGGTGCGTTTCGATCCGCCTATTGTCACAGTTAAACAGTCGTCTATTGTTAGTCAAATTGTCAGTTGTCCAGTCGTTCTCTCGTTATTGGTAGTTATTTTTGCTTGAAGAATTCAAAAATAATTCAAAAATAAACTGCGAGTCATGGTTGAATAAACGACAATGCAATCCCCGTACCATAAATGATCTAATAGACGCCCGGGAGGTTTATTTAACTCCAGGGGTCCAAGGGGGCGTTTATAGATAGAAAAATCTTGTTGTTCAAGCCAGTAAAATGAGTAAATTGAATTATTTTGCTCCTTTTTGCAAATTCGTTGTATTTTGGAGTAACTGTCATGGAGGTTTTTTATAAGGCAGGGGCGCGTTTATTAGAGAGGAACGACTAACACAAACTTAACTTCGTAGAGGGGTATATGACGTATATATTAGATCAGAGGCGTTTATTTAAGAGGGGCATTAATAAGATCATTTACGGTAATTATGACAAAAACTGGGTGTATTTGCAATTCTGAATTTAAATGATCCGACGCAACGCTCTATTTAATTGGGCTTAATAATTATCAAGCTAAGTGCAGAACAGGTGTGAGTTTTTGACTCTTTTCGGGTGATTATTTTCGACTTGTGGAAAGCGTGTCTCAATCAGTACGTGATGAAACTTCTAATTTTTTTTTGTTATTTATTGTTGTTTTAGGTGGTGGCGGTGGTGGGTTTTTCTCCAGTGGAAGAAGCTCAACACAGTTCGGAGGCTCAATGGGGAATGGCGGAGAAGGAGGCAAAGGATTTCTTCAGGGAGGAGTGGGTGGAAGAGCCTGGTATAACAATGCTGTAGGCGGGTTTGGAGGGGGCGGTGGCGCTTATGGACATGGAGGAGGTGCTGGAGGTGGAGGAGGCTACTCTGGGGGAAGTAGCGGAAATAATGAATATGACTCCTGTGGAGGAGGGGGAGGATCCTACAATGCTGGAAAGAATCAGCAGAATGAATGCTGTTATAATACAGCTGGACATGGTCAAGTGACCATAACATTGATGTAGTTTAGACTATAGATTGATATACCCAAATCAGTGTCTCTTCCCTTTTTTTGTCTTAACATTCCGGGTTCATTGTTGACCGCCCGTGAAAAAAAATAAGGTGATATTAAGCTTACATGTATAGAGTTTTGTGCATTTGGTCTCACAAAAGGGATGAACCATATACATTGCCATACTGCCAAGTGCAACATCGCCTTATTTAGAGCGGTTTTAAGTTACTAACACTAGATACATTTACAGAAAAAGCGAATTTTTTTTGTAACGGTTTGAACTGGTCCCCACCCCACATATCCCACCTTTTGAGATAGTCGGGGGCAAGAGCTCTTGTCGGGGGGAAATGTTTGACCTGGATTGTTGTTACTCTGCTTTATATTGAGAATCGTTAATCATAAATTAAAAATAACTTCAATTCCAAATCGTTCATTCTTTTTGTAAGTTTGTATGTGTTCTTTTATTCATTTTGTTTTGAGACTTAAAAACCACACATGTGTAAAAGTCTATTAATAGCGTTAACAATTACTTTCTGACTATCCAGAATTTGTTGGCCTTTAGATCAATGTTTTTCTGAATAATTAATTATTAGTTAGTAATCATTCCCCGAACTTTTTCCCGATCGAGGGACTCTATGTAATAGAAAGCGTGGAGTGCAATTTCTCTTGCGTTAAACTATGTTCTGAACTTATCATATGGCGGTTCTTTTGATGAGCTGATATCGGTGCTTTGTAAACTATCAGTGACACGTATTTCTCCTTGGGGGTATTATACTGGAAGGCTCCACCCAAAAGAGGTACCTTTTTCTGGCCTCAAATTAATAAATGAAAGGGTAGGGCCGGAAATCTGTCAATCGTTTATTTTACGCTACATACAATGAAAAGAAGACGTACTGTTAGTACGTATTAAAATGTGAAAGGGTTACTTTTAGCAATGGAAAGTATACGAAGGGTACGTAGGGGGATGGGGTTGCACCTTGGGACGGAGCCTCACCCGTATATATGATAAACGCTGTTGAGTAGCCCCATCGGGTCATATATTTTGAAGAATTGTTTCACTTAATCGATTACGCTATTTCTGATTTAAAGCGAGGCTTAGTGCGGAGCTATTGATATGAAAGTAACTTTTTTTTATTCTTTTGCAAATAAACTTTTTTCAGAAGAAAGGTTTTGCTGTTTGCCTCGTTTTGCCGGGGGGAACTTGGTTAATGAAACATTAGACACATTATTACACACATCATGAAGATTACCTAAACAATTCTATCAAGCCCATCCTGAGATGTATAAAAAAGCGTTAAAAATTAAGTTGTACTTGGCATGGTGTTTCCAAGATCGCAAAAAAAGAAAATGCACCAAAATTTTCAAGCATGGAAAAATGATATCAAAATTGCGATGCTACTTAAGACTGATCAGTAATTTGTGTTATTTAGAACTTTCTTATTCGTTCATCTCTCAAGAAAAAATATTTAACGATACAAGGTTAGAAATTTATTTGCGTTTTATTCAAACATACAGATTTTTTTTAAATTGTCATGGAGGTTTCTATATGCCAAACACCACACTTTAACTTACTGATGTTGGATTTTCAATGGTTAAGATTCGTCTTTAACTGATTTCAAAGAATTTTCCTAATCGATGTCATGGTAATACCTTCAACTTAAGACTACATTTTGACAAACTTCAATTTAAGTTTAGATAGTGGTGAAAAATTTATGGCGATTTGACTAGGATAAAATAACTTTTACGGCGCTGAACGTAGTCCTCTGGTAGATTTGCCGGAATATCAAGCTTAAAATGTCAAACAAGTTAAACATGAGTTGATCCACCTATACTACTTGCGGCTTACCTGAACTGTTTCAGAGCCCTCATTCCTTTTTTGATACTTTCTGAACTTGTTTGAACAAGGACCCGTTTGTGAGAGTAAAAAGTTTATTCTTATTCAAATTTTGAGGCTGGAACTGAATCAAACTATTAACAACCGATATTTATTAGCATAAAGTGAACTGCAAGCTTGCTACTTAGTATTTTGGTTCAGGTTTCAAATAACATTTTCAAGAATCGTCATTCACGATAAGTTTGATGAGAGAAAGGGAAATAACCTACAAAAAAGTTGCGCTTTCAAAACCCTCACAAACAGTTAAGTCACCAACTGTGTAAAAGGAGGAGAGTTTCGGCCACATCCTTAGGAAGAGAGATCCTTTACAGTGTATGCTGCCTTAAAAACACCTGAGGTAATCAAGTGATATCCAAAAATCACTAAGGCAGACTATATATCCAAATATTCCGCTACCTTCTGAAATATTTTTCATGAATTAAACTATTTATGTTTGTATACCTATTTTGAGAGTAAACCATACTGTTTAATGACGACAACTATCAATTTGGTGTTCTAAATCGCAGAGCCCAAAATGTTTACGCTAATCGAGTACATCCACCGAAACCCTCCAGTTAAGAACAAAAGCGGTTAAATGTGAACATGAGGTTTATGTGACGAAAATTGCCAAAATATATAAACATAATTATATTTCTTTGAAATGGCTAATTCATGAGGAAAAGATGGACATGCGTCGTGTCCAGCAAAAGAACTCGAACTTTTTAATGTATTTTGTACTTTTCAGAAATTGCAATACTAAAAGGGATATTGCACATATTTAACGCTGAAATTCTTAGCTGGCTAATTCCGAAATGTTATCTTTAAAATGACATGAATGCCTGTATATAACTCAACTTGATTTTCTCTATCTCTTTTACCCCCTCAGAGGGAGTGGCATCCACCCCCCGTGTAAGTCCGTTGTTAAACTTGGTGCCAGCAAAGAAATTACTTTTACTAAAACAAACAAATATATGTCACCCTAGAGTCATAACTTAGAGTTACAAACAGCAACGATAAGCTTGGAAACAACTGCCACGCTGAGCTCTTTTGAAACCTCATTGAGTACAACTCGCCATGGGCTTCAGTTCGCCACTTTAGAAACGAGGAGGAACTGGAGCCGAAATTTGTCCCGCAAGTGTTTCTGGGATTGTTACTGGTGACTCGCCGGTCAGCTATTGTGTGTTTTCACATGACGTCATGGCGGCCATATTTGTGTCCCAAAACAATGAAAGGGTTTCCATGTTTGTGTCCCAAAGCAGTCCTGTGGGAGTTGAACTCTTTTCTTATGTAAACGCTTTCTTTTGGTCCAATAAATTTGCATAGATGCTGGCCACAAGAGTGAAAACATAGAATAGACCTATTGGGCTAACTCAATGTTGTACCCTATTCAAATCTCCCAGGGTGTACTGTATTTGCATTATAATGTGGCATTCACGTTTAAATGATATGGAAATTCCTGAAAGAAAACGTTTTATTCCCGAAGGGTTTGAATTGGTCACAACATTGAGTTAGCTGAATTGGTCTATTGGCTTATTTCTTCCCCTGCCCCTAGTAACAGACCCAGAAGCCTTTGCGAAAGTCAACCCAGTCCAGACTCCTTTTCCAGCGTTTCTAAAGTAGTGAATTGGAGTCCTATACGAGTTGTAATGAGGTACCTTTCTTTTGCATGCACATGCTGTGCTATTTCAGTGTTTCCTGAATCTGACTCACAGAGGTTTTTGTGATGGAATAAAATATTTTTACCATAACTAAAATTTCTCGCACGATGATTAGTCAAGAGCTATTTTCGATAAGAGTAGAGACCAATTTACAGACCATGAAAATGACGTCATGGTGGCGCAATTTGTTTCTTTCTTTCTCGCGCTCGCAATTCTCCAAGAAACTTCAATGGAAATGGACATCTTGAAAACTTTCAATGTCACTATGAACTTTGCAGTGGAACCACTAGCCAACATAACATCGCGCTCGCGATTCTCCGAGAAACTTTTGATTTTGTTGTACAAGCAATTGCTTATTTTTGGGCTGTATTTGGAGAATTTTAAATCATTTATTATTATTATTATTATTATTTATTTATAGTTTTTTTATATATTTATATTCATTTATTTATTGCTAGTCTAAGTGAGAAGAAAAGTCTACGGCAATATTTTTCTTGGTCAAAACAAACAAATTATTACATACTTTAAAATTGAAGAGTCGAATCCTGTAAAAAATTCAAATAATCATGATGATTTGTTCAAAGTTAAATCCATTCATTCGAATGTTAATTGTCTTAGTCAAAATGCAAAGAAAACAAAACAACCTCATTTCTCTGTGTTAAGATTGTAATCTTACACAGTGATCTTGATGCTGCTTGAATGGTTGACACGGCAGCAGTTTATATTGGAGTTATGGATGCACTTAAGTTTCACATCCAGCATATTTGATTCTGAACACTGCTTGACCAGATCTACTCTTTCATTTAAGGCCTGATATCACAAGCAAGACAAGCATAACCATGAGGCTAAGCAAAAGATTGAGCTTTGGTCATAACCATAAGCATTGATGCTAAATAGTTAAAACTTGTACATCCTCCTTCTTCACATGTTATTTGCTTTTAATTAGGAATTGTTTGACATGAGCACAAGTACAAATATGAGTGTTTAATAAAGAGGGGGTGATAAAAGAGGCAAGCTCCTCTTTTCCAGCCGAGTTTTCTTTAATCAGTTCTTGATGGCAACATTAGAGGTACCCAAAATCTATGCTTCGTACTGTTTATAAAACGAGCAGGAGTGTATTATCAGGTTTAAAAACTTGAGGTAAAGCTGACAGTTTTTAAACTTGATAATACACCCTGAGAGTTTTTCGAATGGCTTCAAAAATTCTGATAGAGATCAACTGATTCTTGCACCAAGAATGAGGTTATTTTGGTCTAAAAGATTGGAATTAAAGTTTAGCCTGTCCTTATCAAATATAAAGATACTCATTAAATATTAATTTCTTTTGTTTTTTCTTTATGAATCATGAGTTTTTGAATACGAGTTAAATTCACGGCCTTAAGCTGATGCTTAGAGAAAGTGAGAATATCCATACACAGCCTTAATGCTAAGTTCCATACCCCACATTGAATTGGGAAAATAAATAATAATAAAATAAGAAAG